TCATCCGCGCGGCACGTAGCGTCGAAAGCTCTCGTGGAGGGAACATCGGCCTCTGGACAGCTTGCATACCCATCCGTGATCCGTGGTTTGTTCAAAGTTCCAGAAAACGGTGAGAAATGCAGGATTGCGGCACGTCTCTTGGCCACGTTTTGAACCTCATTCTTGCAAGTCGAAAACATGCTGCAGTCTCCAAAAACTGTGCTGTCGACGGAGGCAGTCATGTATTTGATAATGTGAGTTGGATGCTTGATGTCGATCAGACGGTCATAAACACAAGGTGCCACCCTCTTGGGTCAACCGGTCGGAGGAAAAAAGACCACGGTCCAACGTTCTCCCAGCAAAGAAAAAGCCGATTCGGCAGCCTGCGCCTCGTTGGTCAAGCCAACTTTCCAAATACGATCGTCTCGGGAGGTTGACATCAAGATCAGTGACCCAGGCTCAATTCCGACCTGGCGTCTTCGTTGCTTCAAAAGGCACCACGCAGCACGACGGAACTGTTAGGAGTTTCCAAAGTCGCATCTAGTCCCTGTAGTTCAGGAGGCAGTGATTGCTATCATTCAAGGATGTGATGCTCGGTTTGATCGCCGACACACTGGCGAAAGTATGGATGAACCCCAAATGTAGGGCTTCGCGAAAAAGGATGATCCTCCGCGTAGAAGTGGGTTTGTTGGGTCGTCTGGAGATGAATTCCTGGAGACCAACAAAGTTGAGCAACGGGGACAGCTGGGAACTGAAGGGATTCGCAGAGGCTGTGGTCAGTGCGCTGTGCTCTGAAACGTAGGCTAAGGCTTAGTGGCCGTTTGAAACGGGGAGTTTCCCCTCGCTTGGAGACCCCAAGGGAACGAATCTCAGCTCATCGTCTTTCAGTCGCCCGCAACGCGACAGTCAGGAGGAATTGGCTTTGGCGTCTCTGACAAGTCATGCCTGATCAGACAACCTGCGGGCGGCGCGGAATATTTGAGACGCCATCGAACACGAGGACTTCATCCCATGTCAATGTTTGCGATCGGCTCAGGGGTTTAGATTTGCGTGCAAGGTTGCCGGTAGTGCTTGTCTTGGCCTGATCATGTCGTTGGCTATCTCCCTGGCCGGCCAGCCGAAGTCCTGGTTGATGGATTGAAGCATTGATCAAGAACCAACGTGTCGAGAATTTCGCTGAACTCGTGTGGCACGTCTTCGTGCCTGAAGCCATCGTGAAATCGATTGCTATAAGCCTCGAAAGCTGACGACGGTTGCGACACTTGTGATTCAGGTGTTCGTACAAGAAGCTTATTTCCCAACGGAGACTCCGCAGCCCTGTTCCCACAATTTCGCATTCAAAGTTCAGACCTGAGGGAAGTGTGTATTGAATCTTCAGGACACGGAGCTCCGTGTGCGCCCGTCGTCGGCTTCAAGGACGAGGCTGCTCCGAGTTTGAGTCGTGCGCAAGGAACCGTTGAATAGGCACCGGTGGCCGGCACCGTCAGATTCAGCATTCCGGAGAGCGACTTTTTACCCGGTTGCCCCTGAGGAGTTTAGCCGAATCTGTAACACTGAAGCTGCCCAAAGTCAGTAGCATTAGAAATGTCACCGGCGTGGCATTGCAGATCCCCAAACATTGTGACGTGACTGTGTGAGGTTTCAGGTTCGAGATGTTGGCTCGTCAAGCTGTAAGGGAGTTGCCATGATACCATGGAGAAGTTGGATCTAGAGATCTCGTCAGGAGAAGGGAGTTCCAGTCGCGTCTGAATTAAAGTGTTGTCGTGATGTGATGGCATGGAGGAGATCAGTGGAGCAATGGCCCTGTCCGCCACTGTCCCCGTGGTGAACAGTGCGCTCTTGCGAGGTTGCAAGGAAACGAAACGTTCTGGACGCAGGGAGAAGGGCGCCGAGAAACGGGAGAAACGGCCGGTTGAGTCGGAAGTTGCGGACGGTGGAGCTCATAACCGGCTGAACCTTCGTAGAGTACTCCGGGGTTAACCAAAGGTGATGCCGAAGAGTTCTCGGAACGAGATGACTACAGATAGCCAAACGAGATTGGCAAGTCTTTTCGCGACTGCCACATTTTCGCGTCCATGTGTATTTTCGGCCTACAGACCGAAAAGTGATTGCTTCCCAAAAATAAAGAGACCTGCCTTTGGTCAGAAGCCCGCTTCTTGAGCCAGTCAGCAGGAGGGTGGACCTCTCAAGATCTCGGTCCTCCGAGTAGCCGTGCTATATTTCGAGTGTCTGCTTAGCGGAAGCATGGCAGCCGACCCCCGCCACCGTCAGCCAGTCATCGTGGCTCGAATGCGGATTAGCGGCGGGCAGAAGAGGCGCACGAGGATGGAGTCGTGAGGGGTTGAATAGACCGCCTAGCCGCGCCCACCCGCGATGGTCTAACAGTCTCGAGGAAAAACGGAATGGTGAGGTGACATTATAGACGTTCAAATGACAGACTCGACTCCTGTGAGGGTACCGAAAGCGACCCTGGCACGCCACCAGCGCCACATTGAGGAGAACCAGGTGGGTTGCAGTAGAAGAAATGAGGTATTTTGACGACGCGAGAATGAAATGGACCGACAAGTACGAATTCTGTATGCGTATTAGCAGACGTCTTACTTGGACTCGAGGGTCTTCGAGACAGCGACATAGAGGGCCAAGGTTGCAAAACAGGCGACAGAGTTGGCACCATGTCGGCTATCTTGGACCCAGTCCCATAGGATCTTGGAGGGTTCCGAAGATTCCACAAAGCCAAGAACGGGCTCAGAGACAACCAAGAGTCTTGGCTTCTGGAGACCCGCGCGCTTTGCAACGTATTACAACGTGCCTCAATAGCCAAGAGAGTAACCAAGATTGACTGTCAGCGACTCGCTGACAGACGCCATGTTCTCTCTGGATGACAGCGTCGTTCAAAGAGTGAGTCAGCCGCGCCGTCTATTTTGCTGTAATTCCTTTCTTTGATGAGTTGATCTAAACCCGCGCATCACCGCGCCAGGGTCAGCACTTGGTTCGTAATCTTCGGAAGATGAGATTGCCGCGGCGTTGGTAAGTTCTGACTTGTGGCTGTGTGGCACGTAGGATTGTCACTCTGCCCTCGGGGTTGTGGTATATGATTCCAGACGCAGTCAGACGGGTGGGACATGAGCCATGCGATGCGATGCCATGCGATGTCATGGACTCATGGTCGCCAGGCTCACTGTGCAGGGTTCTAGTATTCCACAACTCGTGGCCGCCTTCTACGAGGCCAGGATCCGCATAGGCCGGCCGAGCTCAGGTTGACCGCAGCAAGATTTGACTGCCCGTGACGGTGTACGATGGGTGGACGTGCAGCACTGCAGAGAACGTGGTGTGCCATATGGTAGACTCATACACAGTAGAGGCAGAAGAAACGGTCGGAATTGTGAAAAGTGACGGTTGACGGAAGAAGCTACAAAGGGCCGGCAAACAGGCCCCTCCCAGCCACTGGCAACCCCACCACCTTCTCTCCTGCCGTCTCCAGGTCCATTGGTCAGCTGCCTTGGTGCCTTGCGACCTTAGACGCGCATTGCGCCAGGCATCTCCGCAGTCTGCACGTGTACGTACCGTTGTCCTCGAATGTACGTACCTCTCAGACGTCCTCTGCGACCTGCCGTTTTCTTTCCATCCTCCTTGGCCTCGACCCCCTTCGTCTCATGTCCAACCAGGAAGAGGGCAACCTTCTGTTCTGCCTCAAGGAACTTGTCCAAGATCCTTGTCTATCCATTCTGTCGGCTTGCCTTGCGAGAAACCGACTCCTTTCCCCCTTCTGGGTGGCACAGGAAGACGACACCGTCACGACACGCATACTTATCATACCCATCTTCATCCCAAAAGATACCCTCCCGCCTCGCGTTCTGCCTCCAAGAGTCAAAGCTACCTACCCACCTTGGATCAAAGGATGCCCTCAACGGTAACGGCAGGGTAACCCTTCCAGACGGCAGCGACATGAACCTCCAAACATGGACCAGGGGCAATGGCACGGTAGGTAGCATCAGCAACACAAGATGAGCATTGGTACATTCCCAATGGGTTGCGTCCGTGTTTCCTTTCCTTTACTCGGTCTGTCTAGTCCGTATCTCGCTCTCTCTCCAGCGTTCCCATCCTGCTGCACTCATCATGGACTACATCCAGATGCCATCATGTACCCTGGCTAGGAGACCCAAAGGCACGATCCCCCCTTGCTCCGCCTTGCATTCTGAAAAGGAAGCCTACCTTGTCAGACCCGAACCCCAAGTCTAAGTGCGCCTCCTTCGGGTGTGTGTGTGCGTGTGCAAGTGTGGTGTGGATAGATGGATCTCTACCCTCACCTTCACACTGAGATGGGTGGCAGGGTTCGGTCGTCCGTCCGTCTCACCCACAACTCTCTTTAGTCTTTTCTCCCCCCTTCCTACCAAGCTTTCGAGCAACGAGCAACAGACTTTGATGATATAAAGTCCATCTCCCAGTTCCGTCCCGTCTTCTCAATCTCCCGGGCCGTCTCACAGCATAAACCTTCCTCATCTCTTCGACGATTTCCTTGTTTCCAACTCTCGATTCGAATCACTGCTTTGGAAAACACATTGTTCATCCATCCTCATTTGTCTCTCAATTTCATATTTAGTGGTCCCCGTCACCCACGTTAGCTCTGCGTCTCTGTCTCGGTCAAAGAAGCACCACCTCAACCACCCCAACCCCATCGCAGCGCGTTTAAGCGCCGTACCTATTCTCAGCTCAAGGAATTGCTCCACACACCAATCCCGCCCCCCCGGTCTTGTCTCTAAACGGCCCGCCGCATTCCCCATTTCCTAACCGGAGCCGACGCAACCTGCCTGTTTCCCTCCAAGGAAGCGATCTAAGAAAAGAAATCACTCCAATCTCTTATTCCGGCCCTCGTGTGTGTCGTGCATATTTTCGGTGTGGTGGCCTGGTTGCTACTGCGTATATCTTTTACCCTTCTCCCGCCTACTACTCGCGTTTACACACCTGATCACCCATCCAACACCCGCGGATCACCACACTCTTCTCCTCCTCTAACAGCCAACATGCTCGCCAAGAACTTCCTGTTGCTGGCCTCCCTGGCTCTCGTCTCCGCCGCCCCGGCCAAGAGACAAGCCGGCTGCGTCTCCAAACCCACGGCTCCGACCCTCCCCGTCAACGGCAATGGTATGTAAACTAACAACACCAACTTCAACCTCATAAAAAAACATAATAAGAAAACATAATAAGAAAACATGACTAACACTCACACTCAAGGCGTCGAACTACCCGCCCCGGCAGCAGACCTGGTCCTCAAGCACATCGCCCTGGGCCACGGCATCCAGAACTACACCTGCACCTCCGTCAACGCAACCGCCATCACCGCAACAGCAACCGGCGCCCTCGCAGGCCTCTACGACGCTCAACCCCTCTACCCCGCCACCGGTCCCGCCTCCCTCGCCTCCGTCGACATCTTCAACGGCCTCACCACAAACGCAGTCTGGTCCACCCCCCTCCCCCTAACCTCCGACGGCACCACCAAATTCGGCGCCTCCGCCACCTCGCCCTTCCCGGCCAAAGCGGACCTCGTCATGCCCGGCATCGCGCCCATGAAGCAGCTCGGCGTCCACTTCTTCGACAACACGGGCGTGCCCACCTTCCAGGTCGGCGAGGATCTCTTCAGGGGCGCAAAGCTCAACGGCACAAAGGCCCCGGCCTCCGCTGACGTCGGCCCGGAGAAGACCGGCTCCGTCGACTGGCTTTTGCTCGGTGACAAGGGCGGCAGCAAGGGTGTCACTGCCGTCTACCGCGTCGTCACGGCCGGCGGTGTCGCGCACCAGTGTACCACCCCCGGCGCCACCGACAGCGTTCCGTACGCGGCGTACTACTGGTTCTACGGCCCCAAGGCATGAAGATAGAATCTTGGATCTCTCACTGGGATGACTCTGCGGTATGAGTCTGGCGTTTAAAAATTAAATTGGGGCACAACGGCGTTCAACGGTTCTCGGATACCGAGGTTCCTCCTTTTTTACAAAACTCGGAATAACTTTTCTTCTTCATCATTCACTCACCAAAATATTTGGATTATATACCCCCGGCACGGACGGATCACGGGTTCGGGCTCACTTGAGACATAATGTGGCTATTTTCTCACTCGAGGAGAGAAAGCATCGCAGATAGATGTTGGGGCTTCACATGCTGTCGCTGTCACTCTCCGTTTCTATTTCAATTGTATCTACTTTGGCGTTCGACGGTACATAGGCTCCTGGACAAACAAACTACTTATTTACATGTTACACCTCGCATCTAGCGTCTTCACACTGTACATCGTGCTGCTTTGATTGACCCTTATAGAACAATGTCAAAAACTCGAGAGATCGTTTCAACTAAGCTCAGGGTAAGAAAGTAAAACAGCCACATGACCTTTGCTTGCGACGCGCTCCGCATCATCGTTCATGTGAATCTTTGGACGTAAACTTGCTTCAGTATAGGATGCTAAGCACCGGACAGCCTGTGGAAAACTCGCCTGACAAGCTCAACTCAAACTTGCATACGTATGCCGCCATCCAGGCCCTCAGTGCACCACTTCACATAACCGAGATGAGAAGTATTCATTCCCTGCGGGCACATCACACACGAAGAGAGATTAAGAATCGACCCGTAGCCGCCCAAAAGGGAGCAGCACTACAAGCGCGGCATCGCATCATGGGGAATTAAGTAAATTTGGGGACTGCTGTCATCTTTGTCGTGTTCATCCAACCCCTCGGGCGATCCAGTCCCCCAATGCCTCGACTTTGTCCTCCTCTTTTCTTCTTTCTTCTCTTCTCTCCTCCAGGTGGAAGAGCGGTCGTCATTCAAGATCAATGCCAACGTCTTCTAGCGCTTCTCTCCCTCCTCTTCTTCACCCAACGTGTAAAATCGCGGAATGACATCACATCCAAAACAGAATTCTGAAATTGCCCGCCAGAGTTTGCGAACCAAACACCGATTTTGCTAGTCATTCATGCGCGATTTCGCGCAGCGCACCATTCCATGAAGAACTTGCATCGGCTTTATCTCCGGTGATCGAGGCCACCAGCAAGGTCCGCCTCCAGGCCGCCTCCTTGGCCGCCGTACTCTTGAGGTCGAGGGTCCGAAGAGCTCCATCCTTGGTTGCCTCCGGTGGGAATTGGCACTTGACCGCCACCCTGCTGTCCAGCAGCCTGCGTGCCGGCCTGGGTAGCTCCAGGGACGGTGCGGACCAACTGGCGGAAGCGGTAGACCTCATCCAGGATCATCTTGCGCATGTCGCCGACATCTTCAACGACCTCAAAGTCGAAGTTGAATGTCGTGGGGCAGTCGGGCTCGTCGGAAGCATCATGCCAGATGTGCAGGTAGGGGTGCTCGAGAGCTTGCTCGACGCTGATACGGCTCGACGGATCAAAGGCAAGCATGCGGTCGAGAAGGTCGAGAGCGTCAGGGTTGGCCTGAGGGAACAAGCTAGGGAAGGTTTTCTTGGGCATGAAAGGAAGGTTGCGGACGTATTCCTGGGCGCGGGGCGAGCCGATGCGGGACAAAGTCTCTTCGTTGGGGGTTCCGAGAATGTGCAGGATCTGGTTCAGCTGGTCGACGTAGTCACGACCCTTGAAGAAGGGACGGCCTCCGAGAAGCTCGGCCAAAATGCAGCCAACGGACCAAACATCAACTATCGTGTGGTTAGCATCTCACTGAATTGCAATGATGCGACGCCTTCTGGGATACGTACTAGCTTTGGTGTAGCTTTGGAAGCTCAGCATAATCTCAGGAGCACGGTACCATCTGGTAGCAACATATTCCGTCATGTAACCAGCATTTTCCTCGGGGTCAACGGAGAAACCACGCGCCAGACCGAAATCGCAAATCTTGAGCTCGCAATCGGCATTGACGAGCAGGTTACCGGGCTTCAAATCGCGGTGCAGAACGTTGGCGGAGTGGATGTACTTGAGACCGCAAAGGATCTGGTAGATGAAGGACTGGAAGTGGGCGTCGGTCAGCGGTTGGCCGGATCGAATGATGGCTGCCAAATCGCATTCCATGAGCTCTGTAGCACAACAGATGAGTTAGCACAGCTGATTCGGTCGGGACGGCGGATGCACGCGGTAGAAAGCGTACCCTCGTAGAGATATGTCTCGTTGAAGTTATCGGGTCGGGGAATGTCCATATCGTAGAGGCAGGTAATCTGTCACAGCAAGCAGTCAGCATCACTTTTCTGGCGTGGGCGGTGGTGCAGCCGCGTGGCGATGAGGCTGCGCGGGGTTCGTGGGACAGCTTCTAGAGCGGGCAGAGGGGAGGACTCACGTTGCGGTGTCCCCTGAAGTGCTGGAGCAGCTTGATCTCGCGCAAGGCGCGCTTGGCGAGGATCTTCTTGCTAAAGACATTTGTGACCTTCTTGATGGCGACGCCCTCCTGGGTCTGGTTGTTCACGGCGGCGCTGTGTGAGGGGAGTATTCGTCAGCTTCTTGGCCAAATGGCGGGGCAGCGGTGGTGGTGGTGGCAGCAGCATCAGCATCAGCAATCAGCACCAGCAGCGCAGACAACGACAGCCGATGGGATGAGGGGAAGAGCAGGTTAAAGGTCGCACGCACCAGACAATGCCGTAAGCTCCCTGACCGAGCTCCTTGGTTACGGTGTATCGCTCGTCGACGATGAAGTCCTGGTTGAAGACCTTAAAGACCTTGCGTCCTTGCAGGTCAGCCATGTTTGCGAAGTTTGTGTGCTGTTCGTTTGGGGGAGGTTTTCGAGTTGGTGTTGGGGTTGGAGCTGTTGTTTTTTCGAGCTTGGAGGATTGGCGTGTCGGGCTTGACGAGAAATCGAGGGGTATCTTTGGCGAGTCAATCGAGGCAAAGGTGGGGAAGCAAGCAAGGAATGCGATGCGATGCGACAGTTGCGGAACAGACAGGGTAGCGGGATCAACCGAAAAAGAACAGCTCGTCCAAGCAACAGGAACAGCAGCAGTAACAACGCTCGACGAGTAGACGGGGGGAAGGCAGGCTATATCATAAAGGTAGGTAGAGCGGTGTCTGGTGTTTTCTTCGGAATCTTTCCTCGGTGAAATATGCTGGATGACAATGCGGTGTCGCCGGAACAGTTCTCGTCTTTGTCCTGTAGTGGAGGGGTGAGTTGGGATGAGATGTGTAAGGAAGAAAGACGGGAGGAGAGGAAGTGAGCAGAGGGAGGAAGGTCCAAAAGATATTGTGCGAATCCTCAGGTACCTAAGGTAAGGTAAGGAAGGTAAAGTAACGGGCAGGAGCAAAAGATAGGTGAAGTAGAGGTACCACACCACGGAGTGTACCTTAGGTGTTAGGATAGGACGACGGGGAAATGGCCTTGAGGGGAATTGGGGAGGGGATGATGGGACTGGACGGGATCAAATGGGATGGCCAGACCGGGAGACAGCGCCTTATGGGATGGGGCATTCACGGTTTGAGGCAAGAAAAGGCGATAAAATGGTCAAAGGCACGAGCCGAGGGGGAGGGTTCCATTTGGGAGGGACTGCCATGGACCTGACATTTGGATAGTGGACTGGACTGGAACCTGACCTTCTGGGCCCTGAATAGGGACAGAAAGCAACAAGGGAAAAGGCAGCTGGAAAGGGGGAGCAAGGCAAGCAAGCTGCTGCATTGGCACACTCCATTTCATTGAAGACAAGTGGGATCTGTGGGCTGGCTTGACTTGAGGATTGTGACTGGACACTGGATGCTTGAGTCTTGACATCTGGAGATGATGAGACTTGGCCCAAGGCTGAGTGCGGTGAAATATTGGTTACGGGTACCTGGTACCTTGGGCGACACATGTGTGGATGTATCCGTACTTCTTCTTGGTACCTTGTTCAGATTGATGATGGGATATTTGCAGGAGAACGAGTGGAAGAGAGGGGTGAGAGGGGTACGGAGAAAGGTACTGACTGGTTACTTGGCTAGTGGGCTGGAGCTCCCCCCGTCCCGTTCTCTTGTCTCTGCCTTACGAGGTAGCCCCGGGCATGTCGCATCACTCAATGTACTGGTGCTACTAGAGTACCTGGTGCCTAGCTACTTTACTTGAGCAAAGTAGTTGGGCCATCTTCAATCCAGTCTAATCACAGTCAAGCAAATGGGTACATCAAGAGCTCGAGATTCTGAGCTTTCTGCGTGGGAACATGGGAAAACCGCAAGGTACAAGGAACACTGGAAGCTGCTGACGTTAGGCCGGAAGCGACTTGGCGTGAAGAGACGTGGGGACCCACACCACGATCCCCAGTCCCGCACTTGATTTGCTGGCTGGCTCATTCCGCGAGCCCTCATTGGTTCTATCCTCAGATGAAAGGCTCCATTTACATCGGGCCAGTAACCGCTGAGCATCGTGAATGGACTTTTGGAGATGCAGCTTTTTGCAACCGCGCGACAAATCACCACCATGGATCATACAGACAACCCTCACTCAAATTCCCGGTTGAGAATTGAAAATGGGTCCAAGTGCTGGCCCCCTTTTACGCGAGCAGAAACAACCTCATTTTCGCAGATATATTCAGCATGAGCGCCTACACCAATGACCATCTCTGACACCTCAATCAAGATTCTGCAATGGGTACGAGAGTTTGGGATACGAAGACTGCAATCTCTCTGCTTGATGCTGCATCCCAACACACAAGAAGAACAAAGTTTGTACTTTGGAATGCAGTGGCGCCTCAGCGCCGGCTGAAGAAGAAGACCCAGGACTTTGGACCCTTGAAGTGAGACACTTTTCGACTGTCAGACCTTCAGCCTGGCCCGCATCTGGCCCAGATGCGAGCACCGTCAAAACTTTGAACTGAAGGCCGATTCAGCCGCGCCTCATCCACGATCATAAAGGTCGGAATGAGACGAACCAAGCAACTGCACCCAAGGCAGGTTGCTGAAAATGTATGCTCTAGGCTACCCCTCTCTTCCATAGTCAGAACGCACCACTGCATTATCATGTAAGCTTAGATGCGTCAGCATCAGTATTCCTAATTCGCAGGATCCCGAGATATCGCACCTCATCCAACACCACAGCCCTCGAGGGATCTGCCGTAAGCAGTCACGCAGTTCGTCCACCGTCTTTTACGCAGTCATCCTCGACGGCGTAGGGTAAGCTGCTGCTCCCATTATTGGGCAGCACTACCATAGCAGTCCAGGTACATCGACAGCACCTCTACGTGCGTACTGGACACATAGGGCTGAAGAATCCCTGAGCTCTATCACGAACATCTGTCCAAACAGTGCTGGTTTCCAAGTATTTCTTTCCCTCGGGCCGCCTGGTGCTCTACAATGTTCTTATGCGATGCCAAGGCTCAAGTAGCTGCTCGGTGCCGCCGCCAAAGAAGCTAGCTTGCGCGTAGCCGACATCCCGAATCCATCTCGCTTAGGCACCTGGACCCCTCGAGCTGTCTTCAACGGCGTCTACGGCTCCATCCTCATCTGGCCGTCTTGCCGTTGTCCTGCACTTTGCACCTGCATTGGCTGGCAACTGCATGGAATCTAATCTTCTATATGCATCTTGTAGCTGTGGAATCAATCAAACCAAAGACACGCTTAAATGCTCCTCCTTTCTCTGCCTTTCCTTCTCTAATAATGCAGCATAATCACTTGGGCAGCGCGGCAGGCTGTTCTCAATGGCCTACCCACCCCTCTTGCCCCTGTCCTGACGCCTTGTCGTGGACGAGATGATCGTCAACTACAAGCCCATATTTGGCACCCAGCCAGTCAGATCTCTGCTGCAACGCGTGACGCCGCCCCCAAGTCGTGTTTCGCGGCGCGTCGCCGACCGTTTGTCCTCGCCTTCTGGCTCCAATCCTCTCTCCGTCTTGATCGCGAATCCACGGTCCTTCTATGCTTTGGGGTCGACATTGGGGAAGACGTGCTTTAGAAAGTTTGTCGAGAACCGTGTGCACTGCTCATAGGCCTTTGCGAAGCCCTCGTCGCCACCGTAGTAAGGGTCGTTCACCACCTCCGACCTCGGTCCTCCAGAAAACTCCCCAAACAGCATCACCTTGGCCTTTGAATCGGTGTGGCCTCGTTGTTGTAGGTTTTGGAGGTCTCGTAGGTTGGATCGATCCATGGCGAAGACGTAGTCGAACTTGTTAAAGTCTGATGGGGACACCTGCACATTGCGGGAGCGTGGCGGTCAGCAAGTCTGTTCTCTCTTCGAATCCGCCCGGGCGCACCCAGAGAGAGGGAGCATTATTGTACCTTGCGACCAGCATGGTAGTAATCCGTTATGCCGTGGTCTTCGAGCGTCGCCATGGTTCTGTCATCTGGAGGATCGCCGACATGATAGGCCGCTATTGTTGCGCAAAAAACCGCGTCAGCTTTGCTTTGCGCACGAGAATTGGTAGAGGAATTGTGTTCATCATGACGTATCCGCCATATTTCGTACCTGTGCCGCAAGAATCCACCTTTGAGATGAGGCCCTTGTACTGAGGCTTTTGCGCAAAGTTGCGAAACACGCCTTCTGCCATTGTCGAACGGCAAATGTTGCCGGGGCAGACAAAGAGGACTGATACCGGTTGTTCCGTCATGATTTCTCCGTAGTTGTCTGGGGGAATATGATGTGAAGGAGAGTGGAAGTTGTCGCGCCTTTAGCCAAGGTGGACTTTGTTCAGGTCCGACTGCCCCGCGGCCGCCAATCTGGGATGGAGGGGCACTGGCGTACCGTGTCTGAGTAATCAGATCTCGCACGGCAGGCACTGTAGGTGGGTCCGCCATTTCGTCACCGACTTCTTCGCGGAGCCAGCGATTCCGTCTTATCATCAACCACCTCTGCAATCCCGACTTACATATATATCGCTCGCTACCAGACTTCGCATGCTTTGCTATTCGTCTCTAACCAACTTAGCTTTGCACTTGTCTGCAAGTAAGACTGAAAGGGCCTGGAAGCTCGCCGTCAACCAACTTTATGCTTTCTGAACCCCAGTACGAGAGAATCCGATGTTACCCACGCGAAGCTGGGCAAGAGTCGTGGCACCACTGGGAAAGGTTTTCTCCTATCACAGATTAAAGTGGCTCTGTGCCTCGACAGCTATGCCGAAGAAACAAAGTTGGGATGGCTCCAATTCGAGAGCCGAACTCTGCAGTCTACGGTCGAACCAGCAACAAGGCAGGCACCCGCTTCGGCCGTGAACCCGTCTCAGTTCTTGACTTCGAATCATCGTTCAGCATGCGTCGATGCAATCGACTATGAAAACGGTGACCACCTCAAGTGGACGTCGAGAATAGAGGTGAACCTCCACGGCCGCTGTGAGGGCGACTTGCGAGGAACGAATCAACATGCCACGTGCTAGCGGCCTCGGATTCGATACCTAATCTCGCCGCCAATCTTCTGCCCGGCACTCCGTTTGCATTCCTGTGCACTACAATCGCTGGGCAACCCATCGGCTGCGGCACCTGCCAAGCTCACAATAAATCTCAAACTGCTACTTGGATTCGGGCAAGTCGGGAACGAAAACGGGAGTGTATTAAGCAACGATCAGCTTGAGACTGTCGCTACGGTTTGACGCTTGCCAATCCTCCTGAGCATGCGGAGTCTCGAGGACCGGAACAACCAATTGCTTGCCCGTCTGGCATCATATCTCCGAGTAACGCGTTTCCTACAAGCGCACGGCAACGTGAGAGAATCCTCGTGGCGCCTCCCACTTGCCACCAGGATGAAGGCTTTTCCCAGCCGGAGATCAAACGGCATACTATCAGGAGAAGAAACTGTTCAAGGCAACACTGCTCAGGCAAACATAATGAAGCTAGCGGCTCACAATGTCCGAATTTCTTCTAGAGTTAGACGTTCCATGTTGGTCGCTTGGTGGATAAGAGTATGCATCCAGAGCCTGCGAGACTAACGAAAAGGATGAAGAAACCAATTTCGCATGGCCAATAGACCCGGAACGCACGGCCTCGGCCATCCGGTTGATAGCTTCGCCTCCAAGATCACCACGCCGGTTGTTCTTCACGTCTAATCATGCTTGACTCATGATCCCCCAATCTTACGTTTGTGGTCGACTCCATTTCTCTTGACGAAAGGCCACTGCTCCAATAGCTGAAAAGTGCGACTGGACGAGATGATTCGCAGAGACTGGCAAGCATTCGTCCGATATTCTGGTCGAGGCACGGGAGGGCACGGGAACACAGGCCACACACCATGCGAGAAGCGTCGGACGGCTAATGCAGGTGTTTCTCAGTGCATTCCCTGCACCAAAGAATGGAGCACTTCGATTGGCCAAGCGTCTGATCTTCCTCTCTCCGACCTGCAGGTGACAGGGGCCCGCGAGAAGCTTAGTTGATGCCGGATGAGCTTAACCAACTTCCCCTGAGCCTGCGTTCCTCAGAGTGAAGACCCAGGCAACTGGTCGTCAACGTCATGTATCTGAGACCTTGAGGGCGCATTCGTCGGGAAAGACGAACAGTTACTCGGAAAAAGTCCAGACTCCAGCGATTCCACAAGAGGGCATCTCAAACCTCAAGCTGGTCAGCTCGTCCAGCCTCCAGGGCCCTTGCCTGCGCTTCGGTTTCCGCGCGCAGACGTTTGCGGAAGATCGACCACAGCTCGGAACCGGAGGATGGAGGATTGATGCTACCGACTGACCCTGAGTCCCCTCTAGCCGCCTTTGTTCACGGTCAGAGGGAAGACTAGCACCTGCGCCACGACTACTAGACAGCACTGCAAAACGAGCCAGTCCGAGCGGTGCATTTCGTGAGAGCTCCAGCGGCTTCACGCCAAGTGAGCTGTGGCGGCCGATCATCTCTAGACTGACAGTAGACATTCTGCCACAGAAGGGATGACAAGGCTCAAGTGAGCAGCTAGCTATCTGAGGGTTTTTGGCCCGCTCGGTTGAATCCTTCACCAATAATTCCCATCACTGTCCCATCCGTCGTCTTGCCTGATCCGGGGTGCGAGACAGCTACGGCGCGCCGGCGTAGACCGCGTCTTGGCTGCGTTTGGAGCTCTCGGCGGTTCACCTCTATGAGCTTGTGCCATTCCGGCGACCGGTTGCTGTCGATGCCACCGTCTTGGCGTCTCATTCGATGCTCTTTATAAGACCACCTCGTCCTCTCTCGCAACCGGTTCATTACTTTATCCCGCTTTGCCTCTGCTCCTCCACGTCTTATCAGCCACTTCACCACACCTCGACATCCCGAACTTGCTTCGATCCAACCTCGGCTTCGAACCAACACAGCAAACCGCCAAGATGAAGTACACCATTGCCGTATCTTTCCTTGCCGCCCTTGTGGCCGCCGAGACCATCGATCAGCTTGTTGCCGAGATTCCCACTTGCGCGGTCACTTGCATCCGTGACGGTGCCCAGTCTGTCAACTGCGATATCACAGACTTTGCCTGCTCTTGCGGAAAGGTCGAGCAGCTCACAGCCAAGGTCGTGCCCTGCCTTGCTTCCTCCGGCTGCAGCTCAACAGATCAAGCCAGTATGTGCCCTCGCAAAGCATAGGAAAGACCTTTCAGTTTTGAGCAACAGAGCTAACACATCTCCAGCGGTACTCCAGCTCGCCTCTCAGATCTGCGCCCAGGTCGCCGCAGGAGGCACATCTTCCGGCACCGCCTCGGCTGGCTCCGTCACTGCTGCCGCGACTACGGCTTCCGGCACATCCACCTCCCGCAGCGGCACTGCAACAGGGGCTGCCGTCACCACTACAACATCACCAGCCGCCGCCGGCCGGGCCCAGGTCGCTGGCTGGGCTGGAGCCATCGCCGCAGCCGCTGCGTTCGCTCTCTAAATCCTATTCTTTCACCTGCCAGTCATGGCCTTGATTTAACAAACTTTTACGTCATCCTTTGTAGTTGCTATACCCAATGCAAGTGGAAAGATTGGGACTGCGGAGTTTATAGGGAAAAGAGAAATAGCCAGCACACCTGACGATGGGAGTCTTGTTGTAGTTGTACGCGCATGCATATCTAGTTCTATCAGCTGATTAGTGGTAATGTAAACCTAAAGAAACATTCATATCCCAGATTGAATCATCTACAAATGCGCCATGGCCTCCTCTTTATCATCATCTAATGTTAATACCGTCTAAGTCTATGGGGTATCACGAATCCCACTATTCATCCCCTCGTCTTATCCAAGTCCGAATTTGCCCAAGGCACTTCCGTCTCCGCCATCCGCACCATCTAGCCATCCATGCAGGTCATCCATGGCAGCAAACTGCGCAGCATACCTCATACCCTCGCGCCGCCTCTTCTCAACCATCTTCCAGTTCCACGCGCCGTCGTCCGCGACATCACTCAAATCAACGCTCTCATCCCCGACACCGTTCTCGCCGCCCTGCCATCCGCCCTCGGTCGGCCTGTGCGGCAGCAGCTCGCTCGCCTCAAGCGCGACGGCCGGGTGCACCGTCAACCGCCCAATCTTGAAGACGTACTTGCTCACGCCCGTGGCGTAAATCTTCTTCTCCCAGTCCGCGCTGTTGGTGCTCGCGTCGCCGCTGGCGTTCCTCCGGACCCGCGCGGTGCCGAATTTCGGATCAAGCCACTCTGTCGGACGCGCGGTGCCCTTGGGGACAAAGTGCGTGACAATGTACAGCCACTTGCGGTCCCACGAGAGGATGCGGGACCACATCTCGTAGGGGGCGTAGGCCGTGATCTCGCGGCGGAAGGAGCAGTGCACGGCGCCGAGCATGATGCCGAGGGGGCCGCGGGCTGGTTTCTCGGTTTTGGGATCGAGGACGAGCTTTGTCGTCGCGTTGTGGGTGAGTTGGCGGAACCCGGGGCGGAGGAGGTAGGTGCAGAGGTGGGTGCGGGAGACGTCGAGGTCGGAGAAGTAGGTCGAGTTGGACTTGTGGATGTTATAGTCTATCTCGGTGATGGGGGCGTGGGATTGAGAGATCATGGGGCGGAAGAGGGAGCGCGGGCCGAGGCGTGGGGATTTGCGGATGAAGAGGTGGTAGATTATTGCGTGCCATACTCGGTACTGTTCATGGGTGTGTTAGTCTCTCTTTCATTGGTCTTCTATCTATAGATAGGGAGAGAAGGAAGGTTAACGTACGGTCCAGACAAAGGGCATGTTCTTGAGGTTCAGCAGGGCAAAGATGAGCATGAGGATGCGGCTGAATTTGCCGGGGCCGGTGAAGAAGCTGGCGAGGACGATGCGCCAGTGGATCTTATAGGCGGCATACGCCAGACCGCTGGCGCCGGCGAGGCGGATGAGGCGGACGACGCGGACGGGGACGCGATCGAAGTCGGCCTCGGTGCGCGAGGCCTTTGCGATTGCGGACGCCATCTTGTGTGTCTGTTTTGCTGGTGGTGTTTCTCCTGGATGACTGAGGCCTTCACGAGGCGGACGTCTTCTTATTCGCGACGCCGGGTGTCTGCCGTCGTCGAGTCGGAGAAGAAGACGGTGAAGATGGGAATATGCGCTGGCGGAGTGCGCCTAGGAGGAGGACGACGAGGACGAAGGCCCAGAGGGGGAGGGAACGGAGGTGGCACCAGAGGGTGGTTGAGCATTGGGCGAGGAGGGAGTTCGCCATGGGTTGGTGATGGGATTTAAATTTCGAAGAATGTATGGATTGCGCGCTTGTCTACCGGGTCCACGGAGCTCTTTTGCGGGCCTCGCACCCCCCGGTCGCTTTGGTTGGGATCGTTTGTTGGTGTTGTTGGGGTCGGAGCGCGAGCGCAAATTATCGTCGATTGGCAGCGATAAGTGACGGAGGACCCCCACTCCTCAAACGGGGTTCGGTGTTTTTTCTTAGTGCCATGGTGCCTGTTTGCCCTGGCGTCACAGCGTGGGATGCGCGCTGCACTGTCATGGAAAGTCTGGGCAAAGCTGCTGGACCTCGGCTCAGCCTTTTAGGTTGTTTGTCACCCCCCCTGAAAAAGTTCGATTCCATGAAATTTTCTTCTAGAGCCAAGAGAGAAGCCAGACTGTAGTCGGCCTCGGTCGAATCGACAAGGTTTGTGCCATCGGAGAGTCGGGCTGAATTGGCATTTGATTCTTAACTCGGATCCCTCGGTACCTGAAGCTTCTTCACGCTCTTCATCTACATTCCTAAAAGTTTGGAATCTGTCTACTGCGGCAGAGTGGCCAAGCTACCATGCCGTTGTCAAAATCCAAAGTGGGTAACTACCCATCTATTAAGGCACACGGTTATTCGGCGCAGTTCTTGGGTATACTCTCCCGTTCTGTTCAGGAAGTGCCCCCTAAAGTGAGTTTTTGTCGGCTCCGAGATTGCAAGATCCGGCCGGGGAGGAAGCCAATCAGACCGGGATTTGTGGGCCACCACCAGTCGGCTCGGGTGTCATGAATAGCTGGCGATGACCCATTCGCGGCCTTGCGATCTTATGTCATCGCGCAATCCTACCCAAATATGCTGAGCGCCTTTACATGACAACATGACACTGTGAAACACCATTGAACTCCCAATTCATATACTCAACGTCGTATTTCTATAGCCGTTCTTGCAAAAGAAATCGGGCTATGGATAGGATCGTAAGATACGCCTGAGGTATGTAAGACCCTGGTGCAAGTTTAGAGACTACGAAGTACGAAGTATATACACTCTGTTACTACTGCTAATGCACCGTGGATGATCAAACAATCCTTGCCATGTTTCACCACTAATGCAGTCATGTCCGGATTCGCCGAACTCGCAATGTTTACGAGTTCGTTCACTGCATTTTTAACCCCATCAAAGGGGAGCGAAAAGGGCCACAGAGGCCCAACCCCCAGGCTACATGATCTCTTGGAAGACAGGGTTGCCACTCCATCAATATGGGCGACAGGTCGAGTAGCTCTGATTCAAGCGATGACTGCTCTTGTTGATGATGGAACTTGCTGACAAGTAGCACCGCCAGGTCAAGTTTTCTCAATGGTTAGTGTGCACGGCTCCAGAGGCATGGAAGTGTACCAGTAAGTGAATGTCTCCAAGTTCATGACCTGGGCTAGTTGTGAACCCACAACCATCATCTAGATTAAATCTTCCTGCCAGCAGCACCACTGAAGGAGTTTAGAGGCAAGTGATGTGAACATGGAGTCTGTCTGGGAGTCCAAAATCCAATTTGACCTCAACTCTCAAGTAGGATCACATAATGACTGGTTGCTGCAACACCGGTTTTGATAAGTGTGCGATATCAATGAAGCCCAGTGGGCGATTTGAATGCATTAAAGACTACATGCAGCAGCAACTATCCCCAAGACATCTCACAGGTTCGTCTCAACAAGTCGTATGCTCGACTGACCCCTCATTGTCAGGACAACCCCCATCATCTCACACCCAAACTTTACTCTTGACTTAAGCAAAGCCAGTAGCGATAACCCAGCTCACGTCCGCGTTGAAGGAAGTAGCAGAGTCAAAAGTGTGAACACCGCCGTTCCTCGCAGCGTATCCCAGGTTGTTGTAGTGGCGGAAGTAGGTGGTAGGGTAGCTCCACGCACGGAATGAGCTGCCAGTACCGCTGATACCAGACTGCGTGCAGAAGGTAGCATCCTCCTTGAACTGCTTGGAGCCGTCGTTGGCGTTGACGGCCAGCTCGAAGTTGTAGTGGCGGATGAAGCTGCCGGGCGTGTCCTTGGACTCGAACGAGTAGCATCCGCTGTTGCCGAGGCCGGTGCGGACGGTCCAGCTGGCCTGCTGCTTGAGTGCCGTGGTGCTGGACGAAGTAACGACCTGGGTGTTGACGGTCGAGCCGGTGTGCGCGAGGTAGCGGTCAGTGTAGCCGGAGGTGGTGGCACGCAGGGAGATGGAGTTGCCGACGGTGAGGGCGGTACCGCTGTTCAGGGACGTGGTGGCGTACTTCGCCGCGACAATGTTGGCCTGGACAGAGTTCTCTGTCGCGTCGGAGGGGTAGCCGGAGGTCATGACGCCCTCGTAAAAGGTACCCTGGCCGCTGACGCTGTTGTCACCGCCGATGCCGAGGATGATGGCGCCCTCCTTGCTCATGGGGTTGTATCCCGACGCGTTGGGCCGCACGCCGCTGTAGTACGTGGTCAAGCCTCCCGAGGCGGCGTTGGCGCCGCGGAGAGCCCAGAGGTTGGGTCCGCCCTTCACGACGGCGGTGAAGAAGCGGTTCGTGATGGTCGGGTCGCCCGGGTTGTTGGCGGGGCTGACGCCGGAGAAGAGGCCGTTCTCGAGATCGGCCATCAACCAGGGTCCGCTGCCGGCACCCGAGCCCCAGCCAGTGTTGTCGCCAAAGTAGATGGCCTCCATGTGGCCGTTGCCAGTGTCGGTGCTGCTGGTCTCGGCGTTGCCGTAGTCGAAGCAGCAGCCGCCGTTGTAGTGGGTTCCATCGAGGACGGCGTACATGCCCTCGGCCACGTCGCCGATGGCGGTGCCCACAGCGGCGTTGTTACGGTAGCCCGTGCCGGGAGAGACGAAGACGCCGTAGGCCTTTTGGCCGTTGAGGGTGACGGGAGCGCCAATGGCGCTGGCGAGGTTGTCGTTGCCATTGACGTCGGGGCCGCTGAAGGCGCCGCCGGGGGCTTGGGTCAGGTGGTTGCCCTTGCCGGACTGATCGTAGATGACGGAGATGAGGCAGGTCGTTCCGGAGCAGAAGGTGTCCTGAGCGGCCGCGTTGGCGACGCCACCGGCGGAGAGGGGCGCGATGTTGGTCGTGGCGCCGTCGGAGCCGCGCTTCACCTGGTAGAGGGAGCCAGTGTAGGCGCTGTAGAGGGCGCGGGTGGTGCTGTGAGCGGCGATGCAGGGGTTGCCGCCGGAGGCGTAGATGTCGCAGGGACCGGCGGAGACGAGGGAGCCTGTGGCCACAAGGGCGAGGCCGAGTGCGTAGCCGCGCTCGCGGATTGGCTTGGACAACATGGCGAAGGGGGAGAGACGACCTTGGATTTGCTGGCGGAGAACGGGAGGGGAGCTGTCACTGACGAGGGGAATGTCTGTGGGATCCTGGGGAGACAATTCTCATGATCCGACGACTCGGGGCCATCGTGTGTCTTTTAAACACCGCGAGGTGCTTCACGATGGCACGTTCCTTGTGATCCATCTTCATCTCATTTCGTTGACAATGTCCGTGATGTTGGATGAAGGGTCGCACGGGATCCCCAAGCGCCAATAATTCCCTCCAATGAGCAGAGGGCGCATGTCAAATGCCGCGCTATTACGACCTTCCGAACTGGTGTTATACGTGCGCTTCGAGTCGTAGTGGGATTCTATGGCATGCGTCTGGGTCGTTTCTCCGATGAAGACTCTGGTGCTGGCGGGCAGCGGGGAGGGTGGCCAGATTGGTTCTAGAGTGCGGGGGAAGAGGGCGGATGACCGGCACTGGAGAGTGGTAAGTCTGGAGATGAAGCGATGGACCGATGGAGAGGCATATGGTGCGGCTGTCCGGTAAAGGTCAGAGCGACATCTCTTCTCCCACGTCCTGCGCGGTATACGTCAGGGGAGGGGGGCTGATGGAATCGTGGTATAATCGGAGCTAGTAAAGGTAAGCATTTGCCCAGTCACCTAGTTGCGGGACATCGACAACCTCCCCGGAACGTCCGACCTGCTTTAGTCTCTGATCTTGGCTTTTGCTTGGCTCTTGCGTCCCGCTCCGCGTCCTCCACACGCGCCTCGGCATCAGGTACCAAGCCCTCAACTGCCATTCATCTTTGCGGTAGTCGGTTTGAAGGTCCAGATGTCATCCATGACCCTGGTCTCCCTTCCATGTTGCCAAGTTGATGCCAAGTGAGTAGGTCAATGTGCCCCAGAAACTCGCAAAGTCTTGGCTTGGGGGAAGAGGAAAGGCCGCGCGGACAAACCCCAGAACCCCAGATGCAACCCCAGACTCGGAGACAGGGGTGGAAAAAGACAAGACGAACCATTTTACCCCGCCGTCGGCCCGTATTCTGGGCCGGGGTTAGGTTCACGTGAGCTCCCTCCCTTGTATGTTTAGCTCACGCTACCTGACGTGTCTAACCTTGAAGCATCTGAAAGTTGGAGCGTCTAGTCCACGAACCCAGGAACCCCTCGGTGTTTTCAGCATATCCTTGACGCACCAAAGAGGCTTATTAACAAGCGCTTCCTGGAGAAGCGCAACGGTTCCAAGCGAGCCAACGAGTGATCAGCCTTTGGCGACTTGGAGTGGCAGATCATGAAGCTATTGACCTCCCTTGCGTCAACGGCTTTCTCGGTAGGATTGACGGATGGTTTCTAGTAGTGGAGAAGGATCATTTAGACTGATCCCCATGCCCACGTCCCGGCGCCATGGTGCGAATGCCGAGGGGCGCTTTACCCCGCGTACGTTAAGCTACCCAATAACCTCACATCGCAACTTTGATTACTAGACTATTTACATAGCCGCCACTGTCTCCATGTCTCACCATTGAACAGTATCATTAGAATTATTGCAGCCTAGTGGCAATCGCAGACAGCGATGCAAACGTTTGGCTCCAAGCATGGGATCGGCAAGAGAAGCACGACGGAATATCATGGGACGAGGCCAGTGGTGCCATGCGCCGAGCTATGCCTGCGCTGATCTCCCGTCTGAATGTTCTTGGCAGGAGCCGAGCCAATCATGAACGCAGTGAAAATATTTCGACAGCTGAAATCCAGAAAAGCTTGGGCGAGACCACCCTTTCGACAAGTTTATTTGACTAGGGACCTGGGAGGGATCGAAAAGATTGGTACGAATAAGCGCTCCATCTCACATTCGTAACATCGCCGTCCGAAGTGGGTACAGAATGCAGGTCGCATCAGAATCCTAATGAGCAACCAGTTACCAGGAACAAATACTACTCCATGGACTAGTTTCAATGCCACTAAGCAGACATTGAAGCCCCAAAAGACTTCCTTGAATGATCTAGGTTCTATCATAGTCTTCGGTCTAGACCTCTCGTTGCCTTGGGGTAAAGCTCTCGAAACATGCTGCTCTTGACAACGATTCATACCCTTACCCGCCTCTATGGATGCTCTCTATCGGTTTATCACCACTGACCCTTGACCCCATATCTCAGAACGTAGTCCAGCCCTGAGGTCTCTTAGCCCGTGCCTCTCCATATCTCAACCAAAACGCCGCTGACTCCACCGAGGCCATCCAACACAGGGCCGTCAACATCTGTCTCCTCCGTCCTGTCCTCCAGCTCTCATTCCGGAGAAGCCAGCGCTCGACCAGGCAACCAACGCCTTGCACCATGAACACAGTCCACAGACCCACGGCCTGTGTCCACGCATACTCGTCCAGTGTCAAGACGACCCCACACCAGGCATGCCAAACTCCGCTGAGACTAAAAGCCGCGAGTACACCGGCGGCCTTGCCGGCATCTTTTCCAAACAGACGCGTGAAGAGGGCTCTGGCGGGAACGTACCCTAGATGTTGAAGGAATGGCTGTGCCCCGTGGTGCCAATGAATGGCCCAGAAGCTGGAGAAGCTATCTGCTGCCCACGGCTGGAAGAAGAGCTTGTTGGGGCAGTGGGGATGAAATATGAAGTGAATGCCCTCTAGACCATGCTGAATAGCAAGCAAGCCGCACATGACCTTAAGCTCCGTGACAGGAAAGAGATATGTCAGAGGGACGACGAGCAGTGGGCCGTACGTCCAAGCCGCGCTTTTTGGGATACTCTTTCGCTTTGACTCGTCCACGGCGATGTTGAAAGACGCATACCTTGTCTCCGACCCAAGCCGCCAGACATAAGAAGCAACAGGTCTCCAGCTTGTCAACCCGTAGACCACTTCCTCTTTCCCAACCCGCGGAACAGGCGGCTTTCTCACTCGCGCGATTGTCAAGTCCCAGCACTTGCACGCGTAGAAAAAAGTCGGTATACGCAAGCAGACCTGGGAAATCACGTCGTCTGTCGGCATGAGCAGCGGGAGCGCCATGACGTAGGCGCCCGCCGCCAGGCCCGTCGCCCGCGTCACGAAGATTGCATGCTCTTTGGGGAAGAATCGGAATGGCTCGAGGCCTCGGCCCTTCTTCCGTGCGAGGCGGGCTTGGAGTCTCCAGTCTTCGATGGCGGTTAGGGCAAGGCAGGTTAGGGAGGTGAAGTAGAGGACGATGCTGGTGGTGATGTGAACAAGGAACGATATGGTCGGGTTCGTGATGAATTCGGAGTTGTATATGGAGATAGTTGTCAAGATGGCCGACCCCAGGAAAATGACAATGTACCAAGCCAGCATGTCCCCCATCGTGAATTTTCTGAGAAGAAATGAGCGAAAGTGCCGTATGAAGTTGGAGGTCCCGTTCTGGTCACATCAATGACGCGGGTCTCGTCAAGTAAATAACAGGTGGCTAAGTGCGTTGCTTTCGGCAGCCAAGTGTAAGCGCTAGCGACTACTATGATATTAGTATACGTGTTAAAAGGGTATGTACTCTACAACGATATTCAACAGGGATGAGGGCGGTAATTTGAACATGGCCAGAGGTTCCACACCAATGTACATGACGGGCTATCAGGTGTTAGGATGAGGAGGTAGCGAGAGGAAGTAGAATATCTCAATGGATGTAGCTGAGTTCTGGTGTTACGCAGTACGAGCTGAATGATGTTTATTGAATACTCTGGCATGAGCCTTTATGACGAACTATCTGACTTCTAAAGGACTTACCTGATGTCAAGTTTAGTTTCGACTATTATCAAACCAAGCTTTCGAAGTTCTCAACTTTTCAGAACACTACGCATAGTAGGATTTTGATACTAGATCAGTAAGTTCAAGATCGATAACCGGTGGGCAGTTCTACGTGTCTCGGCGGCCGAGGCCCATAGCATTTTGTGTGGTGTTACCATCACGCACTGAGATATCTAAGTGGCTTGATGCAGGGTCACTGAGTTGCATGCGTCCTTGAAACTTGACTACCAACAAAAGCAGACAACTCCTCAAGTTCATATTTGCGTCTTTGGAGCACCATAACCAGAGTTGTGATTTTTGTTTTGCCACAGCTGGTATTTCATTTTCAGGTTCAATACCACACACACCCCCTAATATCCACTTCATGAACGTGCTTTACTGTCAAGGAAATGCTTTCGGCAGATGTTATGATTTTGCAGAGCGAAGCATATACCGAAACGTGTATGTTCCCCAACCAACTTCGCCGCCTGTCCCGACTGGTGCCCACTCAGCGAGATCATATTCACTCTTCCCAACCTCCTGGAATCCAGCCTTTTCGTAAAGTCTGTAACTTGAGGGCGAGGCATGGATCCAACATGCAAGACTCTGTGAGTCAATTTTCTCAAGCCCATGCTGAAGCAGCCTGGTCCCGATGCCTCGACCTTGGTACTCAGGATGCGTCGCCAAAGCCTGCAGAACCATGTACTTGGTTCCCTCCAGTTGCCGAGATTCCCACGAAGTCATGTCTTTATGCATGATCCCACCTAAAACTCGCGCAGGTTCTCGAGGCATATCCTTGCCAGACCGAGCTTTCTCTTTGCTGAGGTTTGGATCAGATGGCGCCTCAGAGGATTTGCTGTCATCTGACTTCTTTTGCTCCAGTTCCTTCTTAACCCAACACGACCAGCCCAGAAGTTTTCCATTCCCCTCAACTGCTTTGAAGAGCTTGGTAGTAGAGGGATTTGTGAGCCAGTAAAGGACCGACTTGCGCATAAGATTTTGATGAGCGCATTCTTCACGGTTGAGAAGCATTAAATTAGAGAACTGGTCGGATTCGAAAGCGGCAGTGTGGATCGCAACGAGGTCATCGACGTCACTGGGTTCCACCGCACATATTGATACGTGGTAATGGGTGTCTTTAGAATCTTGATTGCTCATGATGGTGGAATGTCTGTGATCCAGTGGTCTGAAGAACTCAGCGAGGGTACACGTAGTATTCGGTACATTTAATCAAGAGTCGAGTTGAGAAGCGTGCAGTTGGAAAGAAGAAGGTCAAGAAGCGGGGTAGCTGTGCCACAGCTCAATGTGAACGACCCCGGTCACGTAAGCCCTGGAATATCTGTCACTTAGATCAAGAACCAACATACCTTTTCTTCGAATACATTCTCGAATGCGAGACTCAAAATTGACCCCGAGGCCCACCCCATGCCCAGGCTTGCGGAGCATGTAGAATTGACTTAGGTTTGAGAACCATCAACAGGGATTCATCGTTTCTTTCACTTCTACCATTTTCTCAATCCTTATGCCAAGGTAGTTGCGACTGACTTATGAGACTTTCAAAGTGATACTGCAGACGATAATCAGACAAAGTTGCTGGGTGATGTATATTCCGCCAACAAACTTTGCTCTCGCACCTGCAAGAGAGTTAATTCCATCAAGAGTTTAAGTCAGTGGAAACCAGAGGCTCAGTGATACTATAAGGGTGATTATTGTAGTCCTAAGCCGTTTAATGTCTTCTCTGAGGTTGGAATAGAAGAGCGATCGGAGCGATCGATCTGCAATGAGCCGAAACCAGCGCTTTTCTATCCACTAGAAAAACGACAACCCCGTGAGACCTCGTGACGAAGTCCTATTTTCACTTTGCATCGCTGCTGTTGGTTTTGTGTCTTCAATTGGGACTTTACGCAAGGTTTGGTGCTAAGTCATCGGGCCGACATGACTATCAATAACTAAAGTGACTACCCTGGATAAGATTTGTCACTGTCATACCCAGCCCACCGGGTCTGTCGTGCAGTTTTGACAGTGTTGGTAAATTCCGCGACACGTCCAAGCATAACAGGGTCTTCAAGTCGAATCAACTTGACAGCTGAGATAGTCTGACAATGGCACACGCTGTGAAGACCTAGCCTCGCGCGATGCAATGGCAGAAGCCCATTGTGATGCCCCCGTGGCTAAAGACAGCCATTGGTCGTCAACGCCGACCTGATCAGAAGAGAGGCATCGAGAGATGTCATTTAACCCACAGAAGCAGACTTGCTAAGATGATTAGTGAGCCGATAGGTCAAGTCCATCATCATTGCTGCCATCGGAAAACATAATTGAGATTTGGCGTTACCTAATAGAGGGATTTGGTCTCCGACAACAAAGGGGCTGGTGGGTCTTCCAACATGCATGATGCAGAAGACCGAACCTTGAACTTGTTAATGTGCATTTGCCTCTGGACTACTGCAGGAACCAGTAGCGTAAATTGATTCTCAAAAGATCTGGTGAAGCCTGGTCGGACCATACGTTCATTGTTACACTCCGAAGAAAAAGGAAAAAACTAGCAATGGTACCTGACCAAAATTGCCAAAAATATAAATAGCGTGGTGGCTTGCCATGCAACTACGATGATTCTGGCCTAGCTTCGGTCAACATCAACACAGCTGGTCAAGCTACCTTACTCGATGAAAGAAATCAGCTGCCATTGTGGCAGCTTCCACAGACCATTGAATCCGAGTCGTCATCCCGATTTCCGAGGGCGCCTTTTGCACGGTCGCTGACGCGTGTTCATCACTGGGACGACGACGGCCCGTCGAGCATCAAAGCCACAAGAAGACCCCGACTCTTGGCTTCGCTGGGCGCCATCGGCAGCCAGCTCGCCGTGCACGCTGACATGCTTGGCACGGATGCCAATATCTCGGATTCTGCACAAACAATGTTTACTTGCTGTCACTTACACGCGGGCAAACAATGAACATGGGCCTTCAAGTTGCGGCCGCAAGCGTAACACATGACCCTTAAGCTCAGCAACTCGCATATATAGGTGGCTGCAAAAAGCCGTTTTAGGCTTTTAAGTGTAGTTTATGGGCTTGACCGGTCAGAGTTACACGGTTTCTCATCGTCGAGAAGTGGATGTGTGCATAATCGTATCTGCACCGTTTAGGTAGAGCAGGCGAGACTCTCAAGTGACTCCACCCTTTCTCGCGGTTGATCTGATGATTCCCACCTTTGCACTCAGTCGGCCATTCTCCTCATCGAACCTCAGCTCACCTGAAAGATGCTAATTGATGCAGCGTCTGTCTAACGGCTAGCTAATGGGTTCATATCATGCTCGGTCGACCTAGACTAGGTCTAGCTTACAGGAACGAGGATCAAAGCGCTACAGGAGATCCCGAGTTACCCGCTCTGGCGTTTTTGGGACTAATTGGGACAAAGCCACCCATTTAGAGCCGCTTCACTGTTGGTTCGATCAATGAATCAGGGATAGGGCAACAAAGGAAAAGTTCCAAATCCCAATAGAGCACCTCTTGAAACATTCCACTTTCTTTGTGGGATCGACATACCCGCCTGCCCCAGACTCCCGTTACTCGCGAATCGCGAAAGCAGTGAGCGGGACGGTGCTTCAGGAGAGTGACGATGTGGACCTCACTTACACTGGCCTTTCTCGACTCCGACCAAGTTGCCGACACTACGGAGAGGACTGCACGGAGATCGGTCTCACCGTTCACTAAGAGCTCTGACCTCTGGCAACCTGAACTACGGATACGATGGGCCACACTTCTGGGAGGTGCTCAGAGCTTGTACGAGGCGATAGTCGGCCAACGGGTGCCGTAATACGCTCCAAAGAAGAAATGTCAGCTCAATGTGGTCTAAACCCGCGATGTCAGAATACGCCGCCACATATGACCGCAACAACAACGGTATATAACCAGCGTTTATCTCCACGTCCATTTGGTTATTCTCTCTTCATCTCAGCAGCTTCGATCACTTCTCACCTTGAGTATCACATTCTCTTCTCCTCTAGAGTATCTCCTTCAACAACATTCATTCAAACCATCTGCTTCCAGCTCAACGTCAGCCTCGTATCATCAACATGCGTTACTCCTTGAACATCATCGCCCTCGCGGCTCTCGCGTCGGCCGCGCCCACCACCACCGCCCCCATGGACTTCGATGCCATCATGGGTGCCGCTGCGCCCACTCTCACTGGACCTCCTGCCCTTGCCACTGGTCAGACTGGCATCTACAACGCGGCTGCTGCATCTTCATCTGCCGCCGCTGCTGTCACCGGCGTCGCTTCTGCCAGTGCCACTCAGTCCGTCGCTGCTCGTGGCCTCGACAAGCGCACTTTCTGCTTCTTTGGTTTCTGCTGGGGATCTCCCTCGACCACATCGGCCGCCAAGACTACTTCGATCTGCACTACGTCGACCACCCCTGCTGCTGTCACTACTCCCAAGACTACAGCTCCTGTCACAACTTCCGCCGTGACCACTGCGACTGCCGCTACCATCACCACTGCTCCTACCGCGCCTTCGACCTGCACCCCGGTCAGCTGGACCAACACCTTCGCATTCACCACCGCTTCTGGTTGTGCTGAGCCTTTCGAGGTTGGCACCTACTGCGGATTCATCAACCCTGAGGACCCTTGCGCTGTCCAGCCCGATGGATACGGTACCCAGGTCCAGCCCGACACCGTCGAGGCTTTCCAGTCCTTCGCCCAGTTCCACAAGGAGGCTCAGTCGGCCGCCAACCCTTCCGGATACGCCAACACCTTCAAGGACCTGAGCGCCGCTGTCAACGCCAACAGCTACCTCGGCCTCTACACCCTCAAGAGCTACGACGTTGCCGCCTGCGCTGCCAAGTGTGACGCCACCAACCTGTGCACTGGTATCAACATCTACGTCGAGCGTGACCCCTCCATCAACCCCTCCGGCTGCTCTTGCACCAACCCTGCCTCCATCTCCAACTACAAGTGCACTCTCTGGGGTTCTGGCGTCGACAAGGCTGCCGCTGTCAACACTGGCCAGACTCGTGATGGCTTCCAGGTCGTGATCACCGGCTCCAACGGCTACGAGAAGACCAACACCACCACTCCCACCACTCCCTCCGGCTGGACCAACCCCCAGGGCTGCGGCGGTGTCGTCCACTCCCACCCCAGCACCTGCATGGGACAGAAGTTCTTCCCTGGTCCCTTCGATGCTAGCCTCTGCGCTACCTACGCCGCTGCCCAGAACGCCCAGAACTCCAAGTCTGTCGGCCTCAGCTCCTGGGCCAGCTTCTTCGGCTACAGCCCTCTGAAGTGCAACTTCTTCAACGCCTTCATGGTCAAGCAGAACGGTATTGCCAAGGGTACCTACTGCAGTCTCTTCACCCAGCAGTACAACCCCTCTGCTGCTTCTTACACTCCTTCTTTCTCCGCTGGATTCTCCTGGAGCATTGAGAGCTCCTGGTCCTTCTGCTCCAAATAAGCGGTGTTTCTGACAGATTCGCCTGTCATTCGCTCATTAATCTAGAATATGGTATCGGTTGTAGACTTTGCATAGTCCGAATTGTTGGTCACTTCATTCGTTAATACTGTACATTTAAAGGTCATGGCAACTAGAGTGGGGGATTTCTATCACATATTTAATTTAATCAAACTTCGTTCTGCAAATCTGTTTCCCTCTCACTTCGCAATGTGCTACTACATTTAGGAACAAGCAAGACTCACCAGCAAAAACCCCTTCGATCTCTCACATCAAACTGAGATAACTTTCTGCACCAAACTGAAAGGGTTATGTGTACGAGTCTCTTAGCAGGGCCCTACATTACGTAGATAAAGGCACAACATACTCTGGTGGGATAGAAGGGAGAGTAGAGCCCCCTACTTTCAACAAAAAGTGTATCGGGTGCCACACGATGCGAGGTTCATTGAAGCGGATCGACATGCAACTTTCTAGACAATTAGTTTTATGTGCACACTGTTTAGTGTGGCCGGCAAACCAATTGCAGTTAACACTTCAATGGTCTCTTACCAAATAATACAGAATCCGTTGCGTAACGAAAGCTCGTATCATGGAATCCGCAATGATACGTAAATCTCTTTGATGGAAATTGGAAGACCTTCTCATTGAGCATGGCCAATCCTCGTGCACTCCAAGATCTCATCGACCAGATTAATACTTGGCGAGTGTGTCCAGGACGAAAAGTTTCTGCAAGACTGCGAGTATTAAACCTACACCCTCATTCTACAGCATTTTGGCTCATTGAAGTCAATATTTCTGGGCTCTTGGTGCGACTAAACACCAACCTACCAATCCTGCAAACTTGACCCCCTGGGCTGCCACGGCACTGCTGACGACATGGGTGGACAGCCATCTTGGATTCACACTCAATACTGTCGGGACCTTTATGCCCGCAGCCTTCAAGCGGGAGGCGATCTCGAGGATGCTGGCGGCGTCTTTCCTGATGTTGCCATTTGGGACGACAATGGCAACAGACTAGGACGATACCGCACCAAGCTGGGCGACAAGATAGCCCAGAGCAGCGAGCGCACCGTCAAGATACCGAATAATGAGAACAAAGGGCAGATATCTGATCCCCAATATGTCATGTTGAGTCACGATACCGACGCAACATGCATCGCAATGGTCCAAGTTTCCAACGGCAGACTCAGTGGGACGGTATAGGGCGATACTGGATACAAATGCGGCCAAGCATGGTACCACAGCCAGCGGAAATTTAAGGGTGATAACCTCATGAACCAGTGTGTCTGGTTGGACTCAGATCACTCCCATCCCAATTTCAACGCCAGAGCTATGAGTTTTCACCTCAGAGACATGCTGCCTTCGCCCGACAAGTTGAAATTTTACAATAGCGAGTTGTCCTACATGTGTACCTCGGTACTCTTTCTGGAGGCATCTCGTACCAGACGGCATTGTACCATTCTTCTACCCAGTTTTGAAGTACAACAAGGACTCCATCAATCCGAAACTTGAGGGCACAAATGAAAGTCCTATCGCAGCCCTGGATCGCTTCAAGTACAACAAGGACGTATACACGCAGCAGGGTGAATCGGAAAAGGAGTATTAAAAAACTCATTCCAAACGCTTGAGCAAGAGACAAGGCTCGAACATGGATCCTGACCACTTGGTCTTGACCGAGATACCGGGTCAGACGGCCCGGGAGATCTGCGAACACCCCAACTCAGTTGGATATGACATCGTCTCGTTTGTCGACAGGAAATACTGCGATCTCACAAAGAGGAAACTTTACGATCTTTGTGCCGGTAGCATCACGATCAATTGTTTCGATGTCAACAATACGACTGTCATTGGAGCTCAAGTTCTCACAGGGAGGAGTAGAAGCTCCACCAAGGGTCAAATCGCAAAGCTTTACAAAACAAGGGCTCACTGTAAATGAAGGTTCGTACATGTAATTCCTGGCCTTTCAGTCAAATTGTAGAACGTTGTGGGCATTTTGGGGTGATACGGGAAGATATGCGGCAAACAGTTGACATTTTGTTGACTAATTCTACCATCGAGGGTTTCTTTTCTAGTTTGATGTTAACATACCCAGTTGAACAAAGTTTCAGTCATAAGGACATTGAATCACATACACCTACTGCTTGTCCTGTGTCAATGGATGTCTGAATTCGGAAGACATGGAGGTCAAAGATCACGCCCACTCGTATGCATGTGATAGGGGTACACTCCGGCGGCAGCTTGGGACTCGGAGCAAGTATACATGCCCGTCCGTCTGCTGTCCCTGCGTTCCTACCTTCCTTTTGCGGCAATCAGGCCGGCACAGAGACCGAGACTTCCACGGCTCTCTCCACCTCTCGGCTCTCGGGCCTCGCCTTGGCGGATCAGTTCCTCAAAGGATTGTATGTGACGAGTAGAATTGGTACTTGTTTGATATCAGTGGTCCGCGATAGTTGCTAAATATTGATTTAAGCGAGAGAAGAGAAAAAGCGACGCAGCGAGTGTCCAACGAGGTCGAACTAGGTATCACAAGTTTGCGAGCAGTGTAGTAATTTGGCCTTCTAGAACGCATAGTATCGTTTGAGCGCGAGTGAGTCGACAAGCTTCATCGCAAGCGCACAAGCGAGCAAGTTTGGTGGTTGGGTATTTTCTATTTGCCGGCTGTCATGAACATAGCAACTCCCGCGTGGTCTAAAACAAAGCAATCGGATTCGTGGAGTTGGCAGTTCGCTGCTGCGCCACGTCCCAATGTTCCATAACGCAAGTCCCGTTGAATCTGAAAACGTCTACCACGGCAAATGGCTGCCCTCCACCCACGAGATCCATGCGGTAGTGAATGAAAGCGATATTGTCCTGGAAGTTCTTGTTCATGATGGTGTAGTTAACCGTGTTCGGAGAGATAAAAGGCTCGAGGACGGCAAGAGAGTTCGCGCGGCCGGAGAGAGCGCCAGGGTTGTGCTGGATGTAGTCCTCGGCGACGTGGTTCAGGAGGGCCTTGGTTGCATTTCGTTCTTCGTAGAAGGCTTGCATGAACTCTCCGAGGATGACCTTTTGCTGTTCTGGTGTTGCCGGACGAGGAGGGCAGTACGGTGCGGAGCCTTGACGCGGGGCGAGGGCACTTGTTGTCCAGGCGAGGGCGCTGACGCCGAGAGCGAGTAATGAAGATGTCCGCATTGTGCTGTGTTTTTGTGTGCTGTGTGCTGACGTGGTGTGTTTCTCCGTGTGGTATGTATGTAGGGCGATGTTCTTGAGGGTGTCGATCGGATTGATCTTATAGAAGAAGCGGACTGCAGAAGAAAGAAATGCCGATAATCAGATAGATTAAATGGCTCTTGGTAGGAGAAATAGCAGGTTGCAACACTGATAGGAGTTCATCCAAACTGCGCCATGTGCCTCAATGCTAAGAAACTCTATTACTATAGACCCCTGTTGATCCCTGCTCAATGCCATTGGCAATGACCAGAACTGGGAAGTCGCAGTCGGGTTACGGAATGACCAATGGTTTAGTGAGCGTTTTACTCATAATGTCCTATTTGTATAGCCGGCGGGATTACTTGGATCACGAATACTCAGTGTCAATATAGTGCTACCTCAATGGGAAGGATAATCTTGAAAGAACATCGACCTCTCGATCCCTCAAAACTGTGTGGCAATAGGGTCCGATCCTATACTTCAATCCTGCAAGATTGACTATTCGAACGATCTGAAGTGCAACAGACGAGGCATCAGCTCGATTCTGGAAGCGTTTAAAGAATGGGGTCCCCTGGTGACGATCCTCAGCCCATCGGCACAGTGCCGAGCAAGGCCCGCGGTAGCGCATGGTTTCTAGGTTTCGGGAGTGGATACCGAAGCAGATGTTCCTGGACTAAGTCATCTATATCTTTCTTGACACTTGTTGACTAATCTGAGGTGATGACAAAAAGTGCGGGAAACTGGCATCAAATTGATTCCGATAGGCGGTGCTCGCACCTATATCGAGACCGTAGAGAAATCCTACCTCACTAAAGGTACCTAGTAAATAAAGCTGCATGCATATGACACTAAGGCAACCCAAGTTCCAACGTGGGCTATCTGCAACATGCATGAAGACCACATCACTAACACCGCCGCTGTTCACGTTGTCAGAATAACACATAGCAAAACCCAAAAGGGCACCCCGAAAGCTACTCACGCGCGGTTGTGACTCGAAGTGTGTCTATTGGCACCGCGACGGTCACTTTGAAAACCCAGGCAAGGAGCAATGCAACAAAGGCGCTTCCGAGGCCGAGAGCGCCGCAGACGAACACCGGACCAGAGGACTTAACCGCAGCGGTGCCACGAGCACAAGAGAACTGCTTGCAACTATCGCCGCGGCGAAATTTCCAACCTTCCGACTCTTTCATTGCGATTGCGAACCAGGTCCCAGTCATAAAGTCTCCACTCTGACTATCGAGTCAGCGTCGGCGTTTGCAATGTGAACGAGGCCTGAGCCCACAGCCACCGGCGGCATCATAAAAAACCGAAACGAGTTGATAGAAGCGGCACTCGCTCGATTGCTCGTTTCAGGGGGCTTTCATTTTGTGAACGTGGATTGCCTTATTGCTAAGTACTACGCAAACAGTATATCAAATCATGTCCTTGACCGGTGAAGACATTCTCTGACTAGCTGACGGCGCATGAATGGGAGAAAAGCCACCTCTCGACGCCTTGGACGTCTTTTCTGTGAGAAATGAATAAAACATCTTAGCCAATCAAAGCGCAGTACTACTGACTTATCAGCATTGAATGGTTGTAGAAACACTTAACATTGTCCTGTGAGTTGCCCAAGAGCTCATCGAGCAGGTTAGAGAGCATCTCTGTTTGCTCGTCCCGAAAAAACTAAATGGTTCGGCATTACTGCATTGTCAATCAATCCGATCTAGCATTCACCTGAGGCGCAACATTGTGCTGAGGCCCAAGAAGGAATGATGCACACAGATGCATGTGGCCGAACCTGGAAAGAACTAGGAAACTTGGATCTGACCCCCGCAAACATGAGAAGACGTCGTGCCCAGAATGTTTTCTAGGTCGCAATTACTGTTTCTAGATTGATGGGTGAGTCCAGCTTTGCTTCGGGAACAAAAGATGTTGTTCTTGTGTGCTGGCAGGGATTGATTCCGATGCTGGTGTGCGACGATTTCGTCATCTGGCCTCGACGTTGGTGAAGCTGAAGGCATTGTGTAAGTGAGAATGCGTAGATCAATTTTATACGGCAATGCTGCCTACCCCCTCCCTCTGGAAGTGGAAGCGCGTGTTTGGGCTTCGCCTGGCCAGGTTTCCTTGCAATATTGATCCCGAATCAGATGGGATCAGTCTCACAACATCTGTGAGGTAGGACAAAAGGGATGAAATGTGACCGTTTTCCTGTAAGGGGTGACATGCCGGTGACTACACCTGCCTGCTCTCAGCATTCCAGAAATAAGTCCTCCCGGAAAAACTCAACAAAGAGCAATGATTTTGTTCATTCGCTCATCTGAAATTCTTCGAAGGACTATACGGCCCCGATTTACGCAGTATCCGAGCGGCCTGATTTAGCTTCCGCTTGGGGCTGAACTATTGATGTGACGGCGGTGGGATCTACGACAGCGACAACTGAGCTAACCATGTATGTTCATTGAGACAAACGCGATAAATTACCAGCAACGCGTCTTTTCTAGTCATAAAAGGGGTGGCCCACAACCCTTGGACGATGCTCTGGAACGCAGCGTTGGTATACAAGGGATGAACACTCCCTCGGAGGAAAACTCTCAAAACCTCACCCACAGCCTTTTCTCTTTCCCCATGGGGATCCTTTCTAG